GTATCGACGGTGTGATTGGTAATGGTTTGGTAGTTGTTAGAATTGTAGCATTGGGAACGGACTGGGATCTGGTTCGAGGAGGGGAAGGTCTGGATACATGTCTCGACTTGGATGGAGACTGAGGGGTGGTTTGCTGGTCCAAAAACGCACAGAAGGAAGAACGGTTGGCGGATCCTGGATCACGTGGTGAAGATTCAGATGGTGTGGAAGGGGAAGACGAGTCTGAAAGTGAAAAGAAAAGGGGTGTGCCCTCTCTACGAGAGCGTTTACCTATGTCTGCTGGACATAGGTAGGTAGGTGAACTTCGGGCTCGTTTAGGGGTTTGGTTCGGCAGCGTGGTAGCTCTAGATGGTGCAGGTGTAGTGTCCATTTCAGTTGGTAGAGATATGGTTACTCTGGTTTTTGTTTCGTTGATTGTTTGGTAGAATTTGGAAATTACAGCTTGAGTGAGACGCTTCCCATAGGAGCGACGGGCCCAGGACAGGGCATGAGAAACGATGCGGTCGACGGCAGGTGATGATAAAGACTTGGTACGAATGGTGGTCAGCTTCTCTTGAAGTGTGGTTTGGTAATGGTCGATCAGGACCTGCGTAACCTTACAGAGCCATGTCCGATTGAGGGATCTAATATTCGCGTCGACAGCTGATGTTTTCATTGCTGGACGGATAAAACTATCCAACTCAGAGACTTTGCGTTTGAAGGTAAACGCTGGTTGGCCTTGCTGTTGAAGGGTAAGGTTTGCCAAATGATGGAGGCACTGCAAAACTTGGAAGAACACCTTCACAAAGGGTTCTTCCTCCTTATGAGTGGGGACTGGTTGGCGTCGGTGGGCTGGTAGTCGTTTCTGTTGTTGGTCAGGTCGATGGTTACCTCTTGATTGGTAGGCTGTGTTGTAGGTAGGTCGGCGATGGGTGGGATATAGCTGGATGGGTTGGTTGGTGGTCGGCGATTGGTAGGTGGTAGAGGTCGATGGAAGACAGGGCCGTTGTAGGGTACGTGATATTGGTTTGGTTGACGATTAGTGTTTCTATTTCTGGCTTCTTGCCAGTGGTTGTTGTAGTTGGGGAGCATAATGAAAATAACTTGGGGTTAGAAGGGAATGTACAGCGGATGTAACAGGAGAAAACTGTATATGCTAGCGTGAAAATGTTGGGATCAAATTATGCAAATAAGTCAAACTGGGTTTGGGGATATATAAAGCAAGATGAAAAATGCAAAAAAATATATATTTAGGTGATAAATAACGCTAACAATGATGTGAAAAATTATAACAAGTAAAACAAAAACTTACGCAATTGACACGAACCGGTTTTCGAAATATTATCCTTTTTCAAGTGTCGAGGAATGGTTATGAAATGAGATTTAATTTGCGATTTATATAGTAGTCAGTTAATACAGGTTTTTGATTTTCTAAAAATTATTGAGTGAATCATGTCATATCTTTGATCAGTTGAGGATTAGGATTATTTTTGATTTCTTAATTAGTTGAGTCATATCTTTGATCAATTGAGGATTATAGAAATATTGGATTAGATTTCTCGGAGTTATTGTGAGCCATCACAACATGTAGAATAACGTGTAATGTCTCGATGAACTCATTAATGGTTCAAATTTGTATAGATATCAAAGATGCAAATTCGCCCAAACAAGCGACCCAAAAATGTTTATAGGCGGTACGTTATCAATCAGGCAGACCCCCTCGCCCGTGGTAATTTTACAGAATATTGTTCATAAATCATCTCGTGGCTTATTCGTATCTACGACGGCTATTGTCTGACAAGAACTTATTGTCAATATAAGTAATATTGATTTAATATTGTTCGAATGTAGACTACAGTATACATCGTTATTCAAATTGCAGTTTTCGCGTCTATAAAAAATTATTTTATATATTTTATAGTTTTGTTAATGTTATTTCTCTTCTCTAAGCTATAAAAATATCGTGTTGATTTTTCACCATCCTCGATCCACTCGGCTTTACTCCTAATATTACCCTCAATTTTACTCTTAAGTTTTCTAGTTTTTGCTTTGAATCTGTAAGAATTTTGAATCTGTAGGGGAGTTTGGATCAGTGTCTAAATAAGCTTCTATAAAATTTATTTCTTTTGTAAGATTTAATTCGTGTACCTTACTTTCTTTCTTTTTTTTTTAATAGTATAGGGAATAGTTATACCTCTTATATCTAGTAAAATCATTTCAAATAGCAACGAATGACTTGAGATATTAAGTGGTGCTTTAATCATACATTTTTTAAACGTATCATTTGTCTTTTAGTAGTGAAATTATTGAATTTCCAGTAGCTTCTTCCACGAAGGAAGTCGTTTAATCTAATATCTCTTTCTATAAAAGAGTGTTCTGTTCTGTAGCCAGATGAGGTTTCTATTTTGTCGACCAAATTCACAAGTTCTTTACTCACTAAGAAAAAAATCAAGCCTTGCTTTTTTAATCGGATTTTTTTTTGTGCCAGGTGAACCTTCTTAAATTTGGATTATTATTTCTAAATGGGTCTATTAGATCAAAATTTTCCTTTAAAGATAATACTGCTTTTCTTGCATTTGGGTTATTTATATGTTTATAGTTGTATGTGTCTAAGTCAATGTCTTGGACTAAATTCCAATCTCCTACAATTATTTTAAAATCTGAATTACGTTTCAATATCTGTATAAAAATTTGGTTTGTCTTGATTAGGTCCATATATATTGTTTAAGAGAAAGTTATGTTTATTTTTTGTTTTGAATTCCTTCCAATATCATCAATTTCAAAATTAAGGATTTCATACTCAAAGTTTTTATTAAAAAGAATAGCTGTACCTCTTGAATCAGATCTACCAGGACTAAAAAATGAATCATACCCCCATTGTGACCGGATAACTTTAGATTCTTCTTCTACAAAATGAGTATCTTGGATACAGTGGATATTGAATTGTTTTTCTCGTAGTACATCAAACAGATCAGGTCTCTTTTTAAAGTCTCCCAAACCCCTGCAGTTAAGTGAAAATATCTTTAGATGCTGCATAACTTATATGATAAAAAAGAATATATAAATGAAAACATTCACACACATTCATACAAAGAGAATTATAAAAATAAAAATTAAGTTTTGAAAAATATGTATATACATATTTAGAGACGCCCATATTAATGGGGTTTCTTCAAATGTACTAAAAAAAATAGATTAGGTTCTCTCTCTTGTGTGCCTCCAGTTTCATTATGCAAAATCATTTAAGTGTGAAAAAGCATGACATAATAATATTGCCTCTTATTTAAACATTTTCGTATTCCCATGAAAGCTTTTTTTTTCATTTTCATTTCTAATTAAAACTTGTGTCATTTAAATACTGTTAAAATTCCCTTAATATTTGGCCGAACAGAATATATATCACGTTTATATCTATTGCAACACTGGCACACAGTTTCAAGTTTGTATATATTTTGTAATTAAAATATTTGTGTTTTGTTACCCTGCTAATCTTCCATAGTGAGACAGTATCATTTTACTACCAATGAGCTAAGGATAACTGATATATATATAGTTTTAAATCACTAACATCTTTAAAAAAGGAGAAAAGAGCACTATAATTAACATACAATTAAATATTAATAAGTATATTATCCATATATTTTGTAATTTATTGATCATTGACCATTATGGCTACCGGATACATAAAAAGTTAGCGCTACGAAGTTACTATTTTCACAAGGATTTTGTTATTGTTATTATCATGCTCTGTTATTGAAACGAAATGAAAAATTATAAACAATCAAGATTGTTCACGATGTATAAAGTACACGCATGTCTATCACGTGTTGCATATCTGATACTTGACAGGTGTCTTTCCCTCAATTCTCCGAAATCTAGTTAAACTGCGCAGTTTAATTGAAAATGGAAATGTGGCTGCAAATAACACTTGCTTCAGGTCGAACTTGCCAATTCTCCTGCACCATACCGAAAACTAAATCTTGCAGAAACCCAACATTAACACCACTTGGCGTGTTTACATACATATATATATATGGCTTTCAGTTGCATGTGCTATCTGTATGACTTGAACCCCAAAAGCATTTTGGATTGTGATGTATGGAGCTAATAGCTTTTTACCACCAATCCATGATACACATGTTCTTGAGAATATTGCAAGAATAACACAACCTAGGCTAAATATATCGCTCTTAAAAGTGACGTTACCATTCGCTAATTCTGGTGCTGAATAGTAAAATGGTCTTCTTGGATCATAATTAAACCCATAAAATGGTGATTGGTTGCTGAAATTTCCCCACACTCTGGCCAGTCCGAAATCAGCAAGTTTCAAAGTCCATCCACATGGTCCATTGCAAATCATTATGTTATCTGGTTTGATATCGCGATGAATAACTTGTTGAGAGTGTAGATAATCCACACCACGACATATTTGTTGGATAAAGTTGAAAAGAATACCATAACTAGAAGAAGAATTTAACATAAATAAATTTAAATCACCTCCATTACAATATTCCATCACTATCCAAACAGCATTATAAAAGTTGAAGTCGTCGTAGTACTTTATGACATTATCGTGCGACAGTTTTTTGTGAGTATTAACCTCTTTCATGATCTTATCGAAGTTCTCGGGTTGTCCAATAGCAACCTTTTTGATGGCATACTTATTTCCATTTTTGGTAGCGCAAAAAACCTTTCCAAAAGCACCAGCGCCCAATCCAGAAACGATTGTGTAGCCTTCGATTACCCTGAAAGTGAAAGTATATGTAAGGGATTAATTAAGCCAATACATTAGGTAGACTTCTCTTTTATAATCCGTTTCATATAAAAAATATAACATGTTCCCTCGTTTTTTTATATCCCCCTCGAGATGATTTTTATAAAAAAAATATCTACCGCGTTTTATCCTATATACATAAAAGCCACGCTCAAAAAATCTTCACTGACAAGTAGGGAACATTTTTATTAATCCAGTTTATTTATTGTACTGGATGCTAATTTAAAGGGATTATACTCGTGCTGTTTTTGCTAATTCAACTCTTTCGTTGGGGAAACTGAGGAATTTTCACATTTTTCAATCTTTATTGATTTCTGATTCATTATGGCATCGATTTATATTTTGGTTCTTGGTAAGTTTTAGTGTAACAGAAGAATTATGTATGGATATTTGTATTGGTTAAACTTTCCAATAATATTGGTTTGTCTTTTCAGTATTTTATAATTATAGTAAACTAATTCTTTGAGCGATTTTAAAATTTCCGCGATCGGTCGAAATAACACACTCTGCCAACCCAGCTAACAGAACAATAATATCTCCGAAAATATATCTTTCAGCTAAAATAGGTCACGGAAGCAGTCAACTATGCTTCAATGTTCAATCATCAAAATATGAAAAATGATTTGAAGTCAAGTGTCTATTTGAAATTGTCCTGATTACAAAGACTGTTACAAAGTGTAACATAATAATATTATATTATAATTATATTGAAGTAAATGGCTATTCCATTTTATTGTCTGAGGTAACGAGTTGTTTACCGTTTTAACATTTTGATATATTGTTACCAGTTTGGCAGATCTGTTACAGTATTTGGGTCTTTATTGTGTTGTGCTTATAATAGTCTAAAACGTACGAAAATCGCATAATCTCTTCAAATATACCTCAAACTAGAAATTTCACTTTCTATTTCTATATATGTGTTTTCTATATATGGCATAGTCTCACTAAAATTAGAATTAAATTTTTAACTTTCAAACCTGAATTATTATGGATACACATGAATTTGAAGGCTCAAATTTCGACGATGAGCTGTGAACACTATTACTGATTATGTAAGCTAACAAAATTCATTTCTAAGGAATGATTTATAGAACAGATAGTGAATGCGCTCTATTAACTGGATACCGTAATACGATAAGCTGTCTAACTATTGGGATGTCTGACTAATATATGGAGGACACCCATAAGCTACTATTATATTATTATAGCTTAGTTGTTTTTCAGATATCATATTTCACTTGTAAAATAAATAGCTGCATACATTAAATGCTCATCTCAATATATTCCTCTAGTATAGGTCTATTGGTTAACGCAGGAGAAGGGATTAGCAGAGAACATTTGTTGAAAAGAAAACTACCACTGTGTAAAGTGTTTTGCCATTTTTTCCCCAGTCGTTGCCTAATTTCACATTGTCATCTGAGGGTTTGGTCTTGTATGAAAATAAGCAGAAAGGCAGAGATTTACTTGGTGTTGTTTAAAGAATATTCACCCCCAACCACTTCCTATTTGCAATGCAAACATCATACATAATATTTCGAAATTTGATACACGATTAAGAAAAATTGTTTGTGAATGTTCACTTCTTATTAATCAACCCTATCTCACAGCAGAAAGGTATGATATAAAACAATTTTATTTTCATTTTCCACTCAATTTAGAGGGATGGATTATATCGGTTTTTTTTTTAAAGATACTCGGATTATAATTTTCTGATGAAAGCAAATTGTTTTGTTTGAATTTCTTTCTATTTTTATTTAAGAGAATTGGAATATCCATTGCAAATCATTATGTTATCTGGTTTGATATCGCGATGAATTACTTCTTGAGAGTGTAAATAAGCCCCTTATCACCAGGAGATTGACTTAACATAAATGAATTTTAATCTCCTCCATTACAATATTCCATCACTATCCAAACAGCATTATCAAAGTTGAAGTCGCCGTAGTACTTTATGATATTCTCGTGCGACAGTCTACTGTGAGGCTTAACCTCTTTCATGATCCTATCGACGTTTTCGGGTAGCACAATATCAATCCTTTTGATGGCATACCTATTACCATTTTTTGTAGCGGAATAAACCTTTCCAAAAGCACCATCGCCCAATTCAGAATCGAGTTTGTAGCCTTCGATTACCCTGAAAGTATATGCAAAGTAACAATTAAGATAAGATTATCTTTTTGAAAATCAAAAGACCACAGAAATTGTTTGCACAGTTCTTTGTCTTTTTTAGCATCTATTTTGGAAGCGCATGGATCGCTGTTGAGGGCTTCATTTATGCAAGTGAAGGTTGACAGGCAGTGCAAAGTTTCTCCTTGTTCCACTTTTTTTTTATTGCATAATTGTATTGTTACCTTCAATGGGTGTAGATTTATGGCTTCAGCCGGCTTCCATAGCTTATAGAGAAATGGATGATTGTCTGGAAATTTCCTCTGTAAAAACAAATTTTGAAGACATATTGTGGGCTCACGTTAATGTTTTTATCAATGCCAAGATAATGCAACTAGCAATAATAATGCAAGCTGATATTCCAATTCTCATAAAAATAATGGGCAAAATTCAAAAACCTTTTTACATTGGTCAGACAATAGTCCGTCGTCACTCCCAGCTTTCTGTTTTCTTATATTTGCAATATATTCTGCAAGATATGCAGACAGTTAAAATTGATATCTAAAAGATGAGCAAGATACTTTTTTGTGAGTACGTCGGTTTAAATCCATGAAGGACATTTTGAGCGTTAAACTTTGACGTCATTATAGCTTGGGTTATTCAATTTCAATAAGACTTACACATTCTTTGTACTTTCCTGTATAGTTTCTTATTATGTGTCGTACCTTTTGTTACAGAATTCCCCGAAAATTTAATCTTCTCGCCAAGAGCTATTCTCCGAAAATATATTTTTCAGAGTTGAACTCGACTCAATCATTATATTATACTATTTATAGAACACTGGTTAACAGATTTCTATTTGACTTATAAAATAAATAGCTGATAAAATAAATAGCTGATAACATTGCATGCCTATCATAAGATGGGTGAGGAGAAGTGGGGAGGGAGGGGAGTGGAGAAG